ACTAGGCATCCTATCTGAAAAAAAGTTATTGGTCAATAACCTTTAACATTTAAAAAAATAAATAATGATTGACAGTTTTTGATCTATCGGCTTACGGCTTTCACGTCAAAGCTTAGCTATTATCCCAGTTAATCTGATTATTTAGCGTAAGACATAGCATAGCGATCACTTAAAATTTAGGCGTTTCTATCTAAATAAAACAAAATTAAGTAGGAACTCACTTGCTGCAATAAGAAATTGCATGCAACTTATGTTAATAAATTATAATCACAGTAATAAAAGAGACTAAATTATCATATTTCTTACATCTTTGTCATGCTTTATATATATGTTATATGTATATATGTAATATGTATATATGTTATATGTTACGGTAAAAGGGATAAATCCGGTTATTATTAATAATTATCTGTCACTATTAACAGTAACCTCTTTTTTTGGATATTATTAATTTCATCCTGTAATTATTAATAATAACTGGCTATTATTAATAATAATATATTCAGAACATATGCATGCAGAGATATTTCTTTTTAAAAAAGATCACAATTTGAAAAACCTTTTTTTTACATAGAACAGTGTTTTGAGTTCCATTCCCATATATATTGTTAAGGATCAGAAGAGCATTGAATTTATATATAGATCGATATTTAATGCTCTGAATCGTCAAATACCTGGTTCACTCAATAAAGCTGAATTTAATCAAACCAAGTTTATAAAACGATCTATCAGTAAATGGCGTTACATGCATGTTTCTGATTAGAGCCGAAAGCTTTAATTGAACGATATTTGCTGTAATGAAATTTATAGAAATTAAATCAACTCTCGATAAATTGAAATTTGGTGTGTTATTGAATTAGTTCAAATTTGTTAATTGTGTTTCAAGCTTTATTGTGTTAAAAGAGGATATTTAGCAGGTATTCGTAAAGGCAATATTTTATCACGTATTCTCGTTATAGTAGTAGAAAATAAAGATAAATGAAAAGTTACGCAAGCTAAAATTCTTTGACATTGTTACATGTTTTGAAGCATAGTACAGGAAAACTGTAATTAAAATAATATTCTATTATTAAAGTGAAATGTTAACTTACGTTAAATTAATGTTAACTTGCATTTTGCTTACTTATTTATTAATTGAAACTTTTAGTTTCAGTATGTTATAAAGTCATACGGGATAAAATGATCCAATGAAGTAATGATATTTATAACTCGAAAATATATTATTTTTAATGACAACTCAAATTTAACTACTATAGTTCTTTAGCTTTTAATAGCTATGATGGTAATAGGTTCTTATAATTAAGGAATATGTAAGTTGCATTATGTTTACTTATTTATTAATTGAACTTTTAGTATGTAATAAAGCCATATGAGATAAAATGATCCAATGAAATTATCATATTTATAATTAACATATAAATTATTTTTAACAACAATTCAAATTTAATAGTACTTTAGCTTTTAATAGCTACTTGAGTAATAGGTATTTTGCCGTTAAGGGATATGTAAGTGCCATACAGTTTGTACAAAGATAAAATGAGAAAGATTTTTTTTTTCAAATTGAAAATCATGATTTTTATAACAATAATAAAGAGAAATAATACTTGCATTATTCCTGTTCATTAAAATTGGTAACAAAGTGCTGAGAGGCAAGGCATTGAAAAATATCCGAATTAATTCTCACTGAAGTTAAAAAGTGATTACTTCTCAAAGCGAATTTTCAGAGGTTGTCATTTGCTTTTCATAGTGGCTTCTTATAATGATGCCAAAGGGAGCTGCGTAAAAACTATCAGGGGTATGGGTTTTGGAATAAAAAATAAATTCAAATAAAAAATTTTGGCAAAAATAAATAGAAAACTTGGATAAAACTTTACATTTAACGTAGGAAAAGGTCGTGCAAAACGGAACCACCGGGCAAGACGGGACATCGCTTTTTTTTCTATGCGCATCACGGTAGCGACATCTAAAGTGCGTTTTCTGAAAAAAAAAAACAATTGTTGTTCTCAATACGCACAAGTTTTTTCGTCAGTTAGCAAGCTGCTGCCGAAATGCAAGCATTGTTTTGTTTTTCTTATATCGTGTTAAAATATTTTTCCAGGTTTGTATGCTGATATTATTTGTTTAATACATTGCAAAAAATTTTTCAAATTTGTGGCCCTGTAGTGTTATTATTGTACAAACATAATGAGTAGTGTAAATTAAAATGTATTTATTTAAACAAATTTGCAGATATCTTTTTTAAAAAATGTACTATCCGGACAAGATAGACCGGGCAAGATGGGACAGACAAAGTGGAATGAAAGTGTAATATAAAAATTAAACTCTCCGGATTTGGCAAAATGCATAAGAAATAAGGTAATATTAACACCAAAAAAATACGAACTAGCAAATATAACTTAACAAATTATTAGAAAAAAAAATTATGAAAAAAATTTCTAATTAATTAATTGACAGACTATATTCAGATTGCTTAGAATGGGCTCATGAAGTGAGCAGTGCTTATTCCGGTTTTATCCGCATCATATGCAGTAACTGTGATGTTTAAGAACGTTATTTTTTGTCGATTATTCTTTTATTTTGACATTAATTTCTGTGATTTTTGAAATATAATTATGTGTCCCATCTTGCCCGGGTAGCCCGGGCAAGATGGGCCAATGTTCTATTTTTGTTTGTGTTAAGTTATTATTACTAAACATTATTATTTATTTATTTTCTGTATGAGATATATGTTCCAGACGCAAGTGCGTGAACGCAGATGCAGTGATTATTTCTTATATTATTTCTTATATTATTTCTTACATTATTCTTTTGTTGGCAACATATTTTGTATATATATTTTTCGTGTACATTTGTGATAGTAAAAAGAGTTTGTTCTGTGAGATACTTGTTTTAGTGTTGATTGTAATTAGAAACATTTACGTTTATAACCAACACATTTTGGTGCCGAAACAACTCGGTTTAAAATTAAGTACGAATCAGATGAATAATTTAAGCAGTCACTCTTTTAAAAACTAACGAAACTTCAAACATCAGTATTACTCAATGATGGAGAAACAAAACGAAAATGAACTTGACGATAGTCTGGCACTTTTGAAAAGAAAAAGAAGAACAGTGCGAGGCAATGTTACTCGATTTATTACGCAATTAAATTCTAATCTTTCTGCAACCTCTGACACTTTAAATGAAAATGTCGAATATGTTAGTCATCGGCTTTCCGATTGCTTGTTAGAAATGAAGAAATTGGATAATGACATTCATAGTTTATTAACAGATGGTGATTATGACAATGATATTATTCAATGTGAAGAATACGTGGATAATGCCGAGCTCGCTATCTTTAAAGCAAAAAAATTTGGTAGTAGAACTAATTTTGAATATAATACTTTACAATCGCCAGAAGTAACCGTTTCTCAAATACCTGTTACACAAGTACCCGTTATGCAATTACCCGTTTCTCAATCTCACACAGTGAAACTTCCTACTATTAAACTCGATACTTTTCGAGGTGATATTGAACAATGGCAGTGTTTCTGGGAACAATTTAAAT